GCTGCAGAAATTCTATAAACTGGTACCTCTGGGGACTCAAGTGCTTTAACCCTTCCACTGCTAACGCACAATGTCTTTGAAAAAAAAAATAAATCACAAGTTAGTACATTTCTATAAACAGAATTACAGTACCGACTTTAAAAACAGTTCCTAAGGCTCAGACTGAGTCCAAAAAGGCCTCTGATTGGGTTCATTCAAGCTCTTTTGTTTGGACTGCATGAATGCAGCATAAGAATGATTGCAGCAAGACATCCACAGGTAATTTCTACATTTATTTTTTATACCAAAAAGTTATGTGCAACAAATAGAATTCGTACATATTTACATTGTTTTACCTGTTAGCAAAATTGTATCCTAAACCTCCAATAGAGAATCTCTCAACCTATATTGATGAAAGGAACATCTGCCCAATGACTCCATTTAAATGGATGTTTAATTAGGAGTTTAAAGCACTAGTAATAAATAGTTGATGGAACATACTATACAGAACAAACACCTAATATTTAGGCCATGCTTAATACAGTTTTATGGTAACAGAATACTTCATCTTTTCTGGACCAGTTTTGCCTAGATCACATTTAAACAACATTAGCAGAACCAAAGCTGCTAGATCTCTCTTTGACTTTAGCCCATATAAATTAGGAGCATCAAGTGCTGCCTGAAGCACCTCACCAATCTTTTTGAACAATTGAGAGACTCTACAGCAGAAGACAAATCCGTTCTACAGTATGCAGAAACCTCCTAATAAGAGATTTGTTGTCACTTTAGATATCAAAGATGGTAGGGAATGTTTCATTGGCCTTAGTGTTGCAAACACTTTACAGTAAGAAACTTCCAAGAACATTCATTTCCTGAACGAGACGTGAATGCCTTGTTGGCCTTAAGAGTAGCAAGTACCTTACAGTAAGAGGATTTCAGGAATGTTTAATTCCTAAGCAGGTTTTGGGATGAGGTTCTTTTGCCTTTCCAATCCACCCCTCCCTGCAGAACTTCCAAGAGCCAAGGAGGGGGAGGAAGAGCCCAAATTCAGAGCTATTGTTTGTATATGATGAATTTTTTCCCCTCCGTTCTCATGAGTATTGAAACCACAACCAGAATCTGTGTAAAGCCCCCCGTCCCTCTGCCAGATCAGGCATCATTTACTAGCTTTTACTCATACTCTTGTATCTTCAAGATTTCTCAGAATTTGCCTTCGGATTTGTAAGGGTCAAATTAATATCAACCACACATTTGCCACAAAATTTGTTTTGGGTGAGGGCAGGAAGGGGGGCAGTTGCATGAAGCACTCGTCTGATTTCCATCACATTACTAATTGTAACCTGAGCCATTTTACTGGAAGAAATGTGCTGTTTCTATCCTTGGGAGGAACGAGGAAAGAGTCAAAAAACTGGAAGCAAAAAGGTCCGAATTTCTACTGCTAAGATTATTTTGCCCTTTATTCAGGCCAACTGCATTTCTGACACACAAGAGAAAAAGTTGAAGAGTTAGGGCCATTTCTAGCAAATCACTTCCAGTAAAAAGTAACTGCAAGAAAAGCACACAAGACAAGAGAGTTCACAATTAAGGATCAGATTCGCAAGTTCGTGCACAAAGTGTAGCTGCAAATTCTTCCAGAGACCAAATTCAATTTCCATTTGATCCCCATGTGCGCACAAACAAGGACTGCAGACACAACTGCTGAAAATCTGGCCCTAAACAATTTTACTAAACAAACTGAATTAACAGACTATGCCCACAGAGACAAGCACAAGACACAGTGAAGTTAGTCAACACCTATACTTTCAGCTGATGGGGCTTTTTTCCTTTTTTCTTTTTTTTTTCGGTGTGCACTACACCCAGAAATTGGACCAAGTAATCATTGATTATACTTGTTTCCATTGCTGCTTGTTCTGAGATATTAGCACTGCGACTAACCATTTCAGGCAGCACGTGTTCACCTCTTCCTTGGATGAAAAAAGATGCCTTAAGTGTAGATCACAGGGACGCATCAAAATAAATCTATACAACATATTAAACAGTGATATTGCCTCAAGGCTTGTAAGAGAACAGAGTAAAGCCCTGAGGGACCAGTTTAATATCATTCACTCCCCTCATATCAAAGTTCAAGGCATTTGAGAGACAGAACTAAACATCAAGACAAGCTTTAACTATACTCTGGTCAATACAAAACGCATTTAATGAATTGTCTAAAACTGTTAGACAAGAGGGACAAGTAATTTAGTGTTACATGCAACAGATGTTACTCATACCACAGAACTCTATACATAAAAGCAGTTTCCACCTACATCCTTGACACAAACCAGAAAGTTACTTCATTAGTAATTTAAATACTATTTTGTGAATTCAATCTAAAAAATTCTATTTTCTCTACAGAACACTGCATTGTTTCACAGTCAAGTTTATCCTCAGCAACTTAGTGTTTATAATCCACTTAGCCATATAACGTGTCTCTCTTGACATTCATGTTTAAGAAAAAACATCCTAAAATTAGTTAAACTAATTTTTAAATAAATGGCTTTGCAGTTGGAATTCTTCATATTTAGAAGCTGACAAGGGCAAAAAGCAGCACAGCACCAATTACAGAAAGTAGCCGAACCTATCCATTTTGGTGTCACAGAGTCTGAAACACAAGGATTTTACTTTCTTGAATTGCATCATCAACCTTCTATCACATTGATTTAAGTTAACTGAAACAATACTGCTACCACTTCTCAGTCTAAAAACTAAAACAGATCTCTTAATACTCTGCTATCCCCAGCAAGTTTGCTGGGAATTTTGTTTGTTTGTTCATTCGTTCATTTTTAAAGCAAGGACACTTCTGCCTGCCAAGTTCAACACAAAGTATTTGGTTTAAGATTTTAAGACAGAAGGCACTTTTAACATTCAGCCTTAGAATACTGAGTGCAGAAACATTTACAATTTTGTTCCTTTGTTTAAATCTGCAGTTTAATTTCTTCCCCAATTAGTTATTAGAAAGAGCAATGATAGCACTATATCACATTTCATTTTCAGGAGCACATTTACTCACTTATCCCACCGAACAGGTTGCCCTTCTAAGGGATCTTATGTGTGTCAGGCCTAAAGTTCATTTCCCAATATAGGACAAACCAAAGATCCTGACGAAGATCAATTAAGTAACTGCTTCTTCAGTGCACTACTCGGTTATCCCACTCAGTCAGTGGTTTCCACTGCAAATTGCAATTCTATACTGCAGCATTCATATAACATCAAACATTAGTAACACTGGCTGGCTGACCGCAGTTTAAAAACGGAACAGCTCCGCACGGAAGTTAAGTCCTTTCAAAGAACGCTCTTTGATACACCAACCCCCAATCTGCATATAATATCCCGGTGGCAGCTTTCTATTGACCACATTAAGCTATTTTCATTCTGTACAGAAATTAATGAAGTTGTGGTTTAATGAACATACTTCAGGTTTCAGCTTTCATTCATTTTCATTACTGGAGACAAAAAAAAAGATGGAACAAAACCCAACCATCATTCTCATGAAAGCACTAGCAGTGAGTGCAGCAACACGGTGTTCTCTATAGAGGTCACTTCTTCCATCATGTCAGTCGACTATTAGCTGAACACTCCGACAGCTCCTAGGCTAACAAAACTCAATTGTACACTGAGTTCTCCAGGGATGAAACCAGTATTTCTAATTTTATTTACAGAGTAAGTCTTAGTCAAATCTAAGTCCATCAGCTAAAAAAAAAAAGTAATACACATACTGTAAACATGGCAACATTAAATATGGTAATGCTAGTCTAGAATATTTAATGTCATGGTCACATCATGTTATACCTGAATTTATATACAGGATATTTTATAGCAAGTGTTACCCACTTCACAAGTGGAGGGGGAAGAGAGAGAGACTAGGTTTTGCTGTGGCTAAAACTCCTTCAAAGTAAAGTTAAAGCTTGTCTTGGATTGTATTAGAGCTTTCTTTCATAACCACATTTAAATTGAAGAATAGCACAAAAAAAAAATTATCTAGGGCCCCTTCAAATTTATAATTAAAAATTCAGTTATGATTCTCAGGGAAAGTGTCTGATATGGAGAATAAAAAATTACTGCAAAATAAACTTAATGGAAGTTGGGTCTTCAGACTGTCAGTCAAAAAGTTCAAACAGGCGTTATTCCTGTTTGGGTTGGAGTTGCCGTTTCCAGGCCTCATTCAAATAAACTAGTCGTTTGTAGTTGATGATAAAGAGAATGAAGTTCAGCAAATATGTGATGACGCAGACAATGCAAAATTCCTTCAGCACGAAGTACAGAATGTATGCCAAGTACAATGACCCTACTACAGACACTATGGAGGATGTCATGAGGATTAGAGCTGCTACTGCACTTGCTGTCATACCTGCAACAAGAGAGAGAAAGTTACTACCACTGCTCTCAATCCCCCCTTCCACACAAAGCAAAAACCCTAAGCACGTCAATTCAAACTGAAGGCTACTCAGCAAGGCTGTATTACATAAAAGTCTATGTAAAATACCATGAGTTCAAGATGGCTGACAAATCACTGTTTGGAGGGGAGCTTCTAGGTTCTGTACGACAGTCCTTTGATAAGGAGTATGTGTAGTATTAACGATCTTCTGTATCCCTGAGTTATGGGAAAGTTACAGGTGGGTCAAGTTATGTCTATCAATATTAATAGCTCTATAGCAGACCATATAGTTACGAAGAAATAGGTATACATTATATTTCATGCACTTTTTTGCCTGCTCTCTCTACTACTCCTGCAAAACTTGTAAATTCCATTTCTATTTCCTCTCTTTTCTACCATGCAATCCAATGCTAAATATATTTAATTGAAAATACCACTGCAGCAACTGTCTTAACACTTATTATTAATAGCAGGAAAAAATGCAATTGCTCTTGTTATCAGTTGGGTTTTTAAGCCCTTTGGACAGATGTATCATTAGACTGGTGCTAAAAAAAAAAAGATAAAAATCACATGCATTTATCTGGTCTCTTGCAGATTGTGCAATGTATAATGAACTCCTCTTTCATCACCACAGACCTGTTACATACTTTAGGCTCTAAACTGAATTAATACTTACCAAGTAGCATTTGTAGTATATAAAACACGAGTCCAAAAACACTGTTTGACTGATTTATTGCACTGTCCTTTCCAAAGATGGAACCCAAGAGACCGAATCCTCGACCCCATCTGTAAAACAGTGAAACTAATTAACTTGTATTTGGGCACCTATTGCTTTACATCAGTATTTTCAATTCATCACTCTTGGAGGGGAAAAAAAAATTAGATACATATATTCTGACATAATCACTGCAGTCCTGTACGAAGTTCTGGGTTATCTTGGAAAACCAAGCAGCTTGCAACAAGGGGTGCCCAAGGTACAACTTTATCCCACACATTGCCGATTAAAGTTATTTGACACACCAGAAACTACCGAGTTCACACAGTTGCAACTTCACCAAATAGCACATCTGCTTCCTAGGGTGGTAGTTTAAAGTTCCTCTGTCAAATAAACCCTTCCTCCAACAATAGCTTTAGCAGTTCTCTCCACCACAGTAAGTTGGACACATGCTCACTATACAGCTGAGGGAAAATGGTACAACTTGGTAACTAGTTGTAACCCGCTCTGCCAGCACTTACCCCACTGGCATCAGAGCAAGTAAATCAGAACATATCTTTGCACTTCAGCTGCTCCTGATCAGTCTAACACCTTAGGAGGAACCCAAACCTGTAAAGCAGACAAGCTGGGGATGGTACCAAGATTCACAGACCTCGTCTGTTAGAGCCCTTGCACAGTGTGACATTTGCAACTGCCACCGTAACCACAAAGTGACTTTCAACTTTGTAGTGGTAAGGCAGAAAGCGGCACAAGCCCTACAAAACTGCTGCTGCAATCAAACCTGTCAAGCAGACAAGCTGGGGATGGTACCATAACAAGATTCACAGACCTCGTTTGTTAGAGCCCTTGCACAGTGTGACATTTGCAACTGCCACCGTAACCACAAAGTGACTTTCAACTTTGTAGTGGTAAGGCAGAAAGCGGCACAAGCCCTACAAAACTGCTGCTGCAATAAGGGGGATAAAAGATTAAATTAGCAAATGTATTTGTGCTAGAAACCATTGATTTAATGCCCTACGGCAAATCATGCCATTATTTGTAAAAGCAAAGCAAGGAACATATTTATTAGTGTCACTTGAAAACACGAAGAGAAGTTAACACTACGTCAACATGCAACTTAATTCACTTACAAGAGAACGTTAGGATATCTGCCAGCATGCCTTTGGAGCATCAAGTCAAGCACTACATTAAGTGTAAGGCTAGGCTCACGTTATGAGGTTAACTGTGACATAACTATGTAAAAAAAGCACAATTCCTCACTGCTGTTGCAGCAGAAAATGCTAGCGTGCTACATTTATGCCAACAGAGGTGCAGTTTCTGAATAGCTTGTTGTACTAGAGGCAATGGTTCTACTAAACCAAGACACAGCATAGCTTTGCTTTCTGCACGCTACAGGAACATTGCTGATATACTTCACCATGAGACCCGTGAAAGGCTACCACCGCATTACAAGCACTTTCCTGACACGAGAAAGGTACCATGATAAGTACAACTTAATAACAACTCCAAAATACTTCATAATCTCACAGCCATTTGTGCAATATTTTCAATACATATCCAAATTAATAATTTTAATTAAAACTTAGTAACTGTCTGCAATTAACTACTGTATACAAGTCGTGTGCTCTTCTCCCCAGGAAACTGAGCAGAGAATTAGGTACCAATTCCTAGAAAGCGTGTTTACTGCATAAACAGAATAAAAAAAACCAAACATACTTTCAACGAGTTTAGTCTCAGATCTTGTAAATTAGTGAAGTGAAACTCATGTGCAAATATAAAGTTTCAAGCCAGCACAGAAAAGACCAACACTTGGTTTACCACTGGGACAATGCCTGACATCCCAGAGCTGCCAAGGGTCAGAAAGACACAAATTTAATTGCTGGGAGGAGCAGCACAACGCTGCCTCTCCCTGCAGTCGTCCCAGTGCAAGTTTGGGGCTACGCAAACCGTGGAGGACAAGGCTGATTACACATCCTCCCTGCAGCATACGACGGCAAACAGCGTATAGTATAGTTTGTGGGCAAAGTAGCATCGAGGATGGACACCAAAGATCTGGAAAAGCAGCTGCAGAGATGCGAGTGCAGCACTTCACAGGGGAGCCACGCTTCCAAGGAGGGATTTTAAAAAAGACCAAATACCATGCAACAATACATAAGCAAACATTACAAAGAAATACTGCAAGTTCCAAAGAATCTCAGCTATGACAAGACTTCCCTCCCACATACTGAATGTTATCTGGATTTTAAGTGAGAATTGTTTATTTTTTAGCCTTACTTTGATAAGATGGTCACAGCACATGCAATAATTGTCTCATGTTGTCTAGTTATCAAATGCAGCATTAAAGAGCCAGACCAATATATTAAAGGTATCATCATTTTGCATTTAATAGTCTATTTTTATTTTTCTGTATTACCACATTTATAGATGCTTCAGCTTACTATCCACAGGTGCAATTTATTGTTCCCGTCTCCAAGTAAGAATTCTTTGTAGGGTGACATTGAACTCTGTTTGAACACACTCAGGCTTTCTTTACCAAGAGGCTAAACAGCATAAACCTCAAAGCACACCCAGGTCTGTGGTTCAACATTACCTTATCTCAAAGTAACTGCAGGATGCTGAATTCCTACCCTCTCCCTGCCCTAAGCTGTATGCTCTCACTTCTTCTGATGCTCCTGAGATCCTGTCATGTTTGAGAGCAAACTCAAGCTTAAAACATCAGAAACTTTAGAGTACAGAATCTGACCCTACAGTTATTCCGCAAGTGAATAAAATGTTACTAATGGAAAGATAATGAGTTCAAGCCCTTCCTGACAGTCAGTGTCCCCAGGTGATCTGTTCACAGCTGCAAGAAGGTCAGAGCACGGTGAAAGCTTTCTCAGTATGCAATAATTTATTAAGTATCTTGTTGGCCTTGTAGCAGCTTTAAGGACACAAGGTATTAAATTTCAGTCCATGGAGTACAGCTCTGATCTTGCATCTTATTCCACACACTTCAAGACAGCTAAGCAGCCTGTGGTTTAAGATGAAGCACTTTTCCCAGCCTTATAAGGTTTGAAGTGTGAGGAAGTTTTCTGCATCAAACTGGAAAGCAAAATATTTAAGCTTTGTCTATTTCTATTTCCATCTGATTTCTCTACTGAAGAGGCTAAATCATCTAATTCCAAAACCCTCTAAAATGCACAGTGAACCAAGTACTTCTGCAAGCAATTGGAGGATGGAAGACGACTGAGTATTATAATCTTCCTTCTCACACCAAAATAATGCAAATCACATCTGAGTCATGATAACTTTGAAAATCAAAACAAACGTACGGCAAACAAACAGCAAGAAGAAAGACTGCAATCCTAGCAGTGGAATAAACTCCAAGAAATAAAACATCAGTAAAAGGACTATAAACTGCTCAGAACTTCTTCACAGAACTGGCCTTTCTTATAAAGAATATAATTTACAAGGGCTATTGTTAACTTGGATCAACGTTTTGGATACAGAATGCTAAGTAAAATGAACGGCACTAACTAAAGAGTTGCTTGCTCAGCAAGATAAAAGCATAGTCCAACATCACCAACTTTTTTCTGGTACTGATTTGTGGCTCCTCATCCCTGAAGCAGTCAAGTGTTCTGTTGTGAAAACTGTGCTGAAGTCACCCTGCGTGAGTCACAGCAGTATGACAAACACACGTGGCAAGCCCACTTCTGCCACACCCCAGTTTCACTCCTATTAAAAAAAAAAGCAGCAATCTGAACTAACTTCAAGGAAGCTTTAAAATAAATCTTTAAGGTATCTTCCTGTCTGTCTCAAGTAACTCAAATTCCCTCTGTTCAAGCTAACAGCTTGCTTCATTTCTCATTTGCAGGTATAACTTTGAATGTTCTTTAAAAACTTTCCAGAATAATGATTCAAGAAATCCAAGACAAAGTGTTTAGAACTGTTCATGTAGTTTCCTAACATCTAAAATTGAACACTACAGTAACTTTTACTCCAATGTACATTTCCTTTTATCAAAAGGAGGTCTTGAAAATTATTACCCACCATCTAAACAGGGTACCTTTTGGTTTGTGACATTTGACAAAGCTCAGAAGTGTTACATTTTCAGAAGTTTAAAGCACTATTTGCATGCACTTGACACTTCTGAACAGGAAGACAAGAACAACTGAGGTCACTTTGATCCACAAGTGACATATCTCTAATAAAACCTTAGACTGTTAAATCATTATCTCTTTTGCACAATTATGAACATACTCTGTGTTCCAGAACAGCGTATCATGGGAGTACACTTTAACTCTAAACATTGTACTGTAATTTAGCAGAGACAATACCACTGGCAGGAAGGCAACCAAGACAACCTCATGTAGCACACTAGTATCTCAGTCATTTTAAAGGACAAGTAAACAACCTTCATGTTGAACAAGTCAAAAGCTGTACGAGTTACCAGTATCAGCTCAAAAAGCAACAGAATACAAGCCTGCCAAACACAGCAAGTCAAACAAACAAACAAAAAGTATATATTTAGCCAGGAGTCTGTAAGAAATGCTATATTGTTTTTTCTAGCCAAGCACCCCAATTCTGACAGTTACCTGTAGGAGACGTTTTTAAGGGCTTTTACAAAGAGCTCATTCCCCAAGATGCTCTCCTTGACCTCAATCATCATTAAGTTAAGAACCAGCTTAAGAAACTTCTGAACTGGAGTTCCACCTGCATCAACATGCTCAGTAGCCTACCTTGAAGCCTTCCTGAATGTACCTAGATGATTTCTGAACATCCACTTTCGACCTCCACAGCACCTTCCAGTGATGAATGTCACAATCATATCACCTCAATTTCACTTGGCAATCCTTAGTTCTTACGTCAAGAAAAGGACTAACTACTGTATATTCATTTTAGCATGAAGATAACCATACTAGATCAGGTCAAGTCCAGCTAGCTTCAGTACAACGTCCCTGACCCCTGCGAGTAGCAGATGCCTTGAATAAAGCACACGTACTTCCCAGTTCACATTCCAGTCTCCTAAATGTCTAGCTGAAAATGCTATTAAATCCTTCAGGAGACCAGATTATTAAGTGGCATGTATGAT